AAAAACACCCCCCCCCCCCCCCCACACACACACACACTCGTTTTTTTCTTCAATAATCTTAAAATTAAAATTGATGAAACTGAAACCTTACCCATTACCCTAAAATATATTTAAGATGACGTTTACCCCACCCCCAAACCCCCGGATTTGAAAAGAAGAAAATCAAAGATAATTTTAACTCAAAATAGTTATTGAATCTATTTTTACGGAGAATCCAATTATAAAGATTAAAAAATAGCATACATGTGTTAAAATAAATTAATAAAATCCTTGTTATGGAACTAGAGGATTTATAAAAAATCGCTTAAAATTATGGAGAAATGTTGTTACATTTTAATATACCGTATTTATTGGCGTATAACACGCACCTCAATTTAAGATTTGCCCCATATTTTCGGGGAGAAAAAGTGCGTGTTATACGCCAATAAATACGGTAATATCGTATCATCAAAATACGGAGAGCAATTTGGATACTGTCCTCGGGTCCGCTATTTGATTTCTCTGCTGTGTTTTAAGGCTCTTTGGGTGGAAAATCCTTGTTCCTAAAGATAAGCTGTTGCAAAAGGCAGCAAGTGTTGACGGCCTCGTCATGACAGCTTATGCAGCTCTTGACATTTTTTAGAAAATCAGTAGCGTCAATAGGGGTGTGTGAAGGGTGCGGGGTGACACCAAGTGGAAAACAGTAATTTGACAGAAGTCGATCAAGTCGGTTTCAAACATATCTTAGTTAAATACAAAATCATAGTGCCGCCAGAGCAGAGTGTCATCATAAAAGATAGACTCGGGGATGTCCGTTAGGAAGCCTGGAGAAGTTTTTCCAAGAGTTTACCGCACTTTATTACACCAATCATAGGGATGCCACTTAGCATAATTATAAGATAATAAAAAAAGCGACTGGGCCAAAATGACGTAGGCCCTATTATGCAAATTACAAGACAAATCGTGCGGTTACGCTTGCTGCAGTGGCGTTGCTAAGGTTGGTGTCACATGGCGCGGGCCAAGCCTTTTGCAGATCTACGAAAAAACTGCACTTTTCCAAAACTGCCGCCCCTCAATGACTCAATGTGTAGAAAAATGTGCCGCCGGTGGCGGATCGCCCATCTCTTCCAACTCCAACACTACTGGCTAGCTGCCTAGTAACCAACACATGTTGGTAGCGTTTCTCTATTATGTTGGCAGGATGCAATATTTCCAGAATACCATTCTTTCGTACAAATGAAAGCGCTTTTTAATATTTATAAAATTTTAGTATGTTTATTGAATCCTCATTACCTTCAAGATTTTCATCTTAATCCCTTTTAGGGTATTTACCCAGGTTCACCAACCCCTGCCTAAGCGGAAGCCATTTAAACAAGGGTCAAAGGTCACCAATTTAAAAGAAAGGCGTTTGAGTTATCAAAGTAAAGCAGTTAAGGCTAAGGTGTTCAAAGAGAAGGCGAATGCAACAAAGTTGTTGCTTATTATTCAGATTTGAAATGGATCAATATCTTGAAATTGCTAAATCTACTTTAAAGCAGTGGCTTCCTAAAAATGAAAAGGTAGCTACTACTAGTATAGGTATAGTATAGGCATAGGCATAGCGGATAGCGGCATAGTAAATTACTTATATTAATAATTAAATTATTAAACTTATTTTTTTTTTAAAATTATGACTTATCAGACTTGTCTCATTGTCAGTAACTTGTCTTTTAGTTTTAGGTTTCAGCTTTAGTTTTAAAATTTAGCAACTCACCCAGGCCCAACAAGGCCAGTCATCGGACTCATCCACACTAATCACTTAACAACCAATATTTAAATTTTGTCGTTCATTATTAGTTAAATAAAGACAATTACTAATTACTAAAAATTATGATATTTTAATTTTAGCTTACTACTTAGTTACTTAGTAGTAATTCAATGTCAATAAATATAAAAGACTTTTAAAGAATTCAGAATAAGCTACAAATTACATGAAATTAATCTTATCAATTGACTCAATTGTTATATTAATCGGTAGTTAAGGCTTAACTTAAGGCAAGGTAGTCTTGGACAGCCACCTATTTGCCTATTTTATTACATTTTCATTTGTTAGGTTAGGCCTGTGTAAATTAAAATAATCAATTTATTTTAGTCTATGTCATGTTTTTTCATTTGGCTTATAACGTATATTAGATAAGGCTGTGGCTATTCTGACCCGGGATTCAGACAAGGAAAAGAGTGAGAGGTTGAGCTTATTAAAAAATATTAAAGATTTAAAATATTATTGTTGGGTCTGTAAGACAACTTTGGCATGAAAGATAATGGAATGGACCATATGTTTATAAACTTAGATCTACCTCTTCAGCAATGTTCCCTCTAAGGTTTGTTGGTTCGTGTGCACATTTTTACAGCATCAATTTTTTTGTGCGCAAAATTTTACAGCCTACAGACACAAACTTAAGTGGAAATTAGCTGCGCGGTACTCAAAATGGCTGCGCGGCATCTGTGAGATTGCTGCGCGGCCACGCAGCTTAAAGGGAACATTGTTCTTCAGTTTAACTAAAATAAACTACCACCAATGACATCCGATAGCCATTTAGTCTAAAGGACCCGGGTCAGTATAGTGGTTATTTGGACCCAAATAAGCCACTTCGATTAGTTAATTAATGACTATTGTTATCCACAGACTGAGACTGTCTTCCTATAACTTTTTTGCCTTTCCTTGCTTTTAGCAAAACAACCATCATTTAAATTTAACAAACTGTACTAGAAAATGAAAATTAAATTTCATTTCCACTGACTTCCAGGCTACTTTTGTCATTCACAGCAACATTTGTGGTCTATCTTGCTTGAAAAAATGTCAACCTCCGAATAACACCAAAAAATTAATAAGCCATTGGCAATTGATTTGATTAATTTACTTCAAACTCTTTTATTAAAATTCACTTTAGACACCAAACATTACAAAGTAATTTATTGTTGGAATATGCTTGCAGTTGCATTTTGTTCTTCTTACCACTATAAGGGGACATAGCTGACTAATATAATTAAAGCACCTAAAATAAGAAATCCTTTTAAAAGAAAATCAAGTAATGATTAAATATTATTTTTCTTGGTAAAACAAGTCATGATTGTATTTTCTTTTCAGGAGCTTGAATGGTGGATAAAATTTAGGAAACCAGAAGAAATTCTTAAGAAGCATGCAACATATCTCTATTGTGAAGTGATCTTATATATTATTGGATTCTTGACCTTATACCATGGTAAAGATTTAGTAGATGAACTTTTATAATTTAAAGAAGTTTTTTTTACATTTTAAAATTTTACCGTACCCATACATTATTTTAATTAATTATTTTTTGCTGGACAGAATGTTAAAAAATATTGAAATAATGAAGACTCAAACGCTTGAACACAAATAAGTTTAGTCATACGTTTTTCAAAAATCCAAACTTTTTTGGAAAGTTGTAATTATTCTAAAGAGCTATTGAGGAATGATATAAATTGCCATATATTTAAGTTAATTCAAATAAAACTTGCAAGATGTCCATGGAAGCAAAACCAAAAAGACACTTAGATAGTTTTCCATGTCTTAATATACACAAAGCCATCCCTTAACAACGTTGGGGAACAAAGAAAGGGATTAATTTTGATCACTAGCATTCTTTCTAGCAGCTCTCAGGTGGGCAAAGCTTGAGAAAGGGTAAAAAGAATTAATTGAACATTACAAGTTAATTTTATTTTAAAATAATTAGTTTTTGTCTTCAGCTATGCAAAGTGGTGGAAGGTATCGTTGGTTATGGTTTGCTGCTATTGCACATGGGTTGACAGTGGAGTCTGTTAGCTATTTTGTACCTGATATTGACAACTTTTGGCATGCACAGTCAATGGTAATGCTCCTGGGCCAGCGTCTGCCCCTACACATAATTTTTCTGTGTAAGTTTGTATAGAATTCTATTAAATTATGGTAATAAAAGCAATTGATATATTTTTAGTATGGTTAAGAAAATATTCTCTAAGAAAAGAAAGAAAAAAGATTATCATACAAACAACAAAATTAGTGTCCTAAAAATGATGATAAATTACTATAAAAATTAAAACAAAATTTATTAGTTTTTCTTTAATATTGTTTCCAATAAGTGAATAAAAGAAAAATTAGAGCATTTTTACTAATAGAAGAAAACTGTAATTGCAATAAGCTTTTATTAAGATTGCAAGTTAGTTTTGTAAATTTGTGTTCATTTTTGTTGGATTTCCTTTAGAGCTTCATATATGCCACTTCAAATTTGCCACCTGCATTACATTTCCTTTTTCCCTTTAGATCCTGTATTTATCTATACAGCTGTTGTAGCTGTCTCACACATGAATCTCCGCTGGTGGGCTGAACCATTTGCAGGTCATTATGCTATGTTATAATTACAATAATATTTTTAAATATCAATTTTTTAAAATTGTGTTGATGCCAGAATACTTTATTGACATTTTCTAGTTTATCTGATGAAATAAAACCTTTAATTTCACTATAATAAAGATGTGTATTCTTTATTGGTGTTCAGGAATATCTCATTTCCTTTTTTTTCTTGAACAGTTGGCTTGACAGTTGTGCTAATAGATATTCCATTTGATATAATGGGTATTAAGCTTCTGTGGTGGACCTGGCATGATGATGACCCTAACATCTATGATCGTCATTACTATGTACCATGGACATCATATTATTTCCATGCAGCTTTCTCAAGCTCATTTGCTTTCCTTTTCTTAAGTCTTCCAAACATATTGTGCAGTTCTGGACTTAAGTTTCGAAGCTCGGGGTTTGTGCATTTACTTCGAAGTGGTTCTGAATTATATTCATAACAAATTTTAATTGATTTAGTTCTTTTAAAGCCTTTATAATTTATTATAGTTAAAATTATCATTCTTTCTCATAACAGTAGACCAAAACTTTTTTTATAATCAAAGATGAAAAATTACTGACCAATAGCCTCAATCATTGATTAACCTATTTTTTTTTTTATTTACCAAAGAAATCCTTTCAACCTATGCAATGTCCAGTAAATATCAATAATTTAATCCTCAGATTTTTTGTTGAGCTTTTAATTCTGATTGCTACTGGTCTTTTTTCGATGCCGCTGGGCATCCTGCAATTTATTCCTGTCTACCATCCCCTACATGACTCACTTGCGATTCATTCTGAAGTTTGCGTACTGCTATTATTGAGTGTGTTCAGTTTTATTGTATGGAGTGCTGATAGGACACCACTTGAGTCAGCAAGGCAACCACGATCAAGTAAGCTAAGAGTTTGACATAAATGTTTTAAGTACTTTATTAACGGCAATGTTAAGTACACCTAGACCAGGGGTCTCAAGCTCAAATCATCCGGGGGCTGCAGGAGGTAGAGTCTGAGAGAGACTGGGCTGCATCAAGTATTCCACAAAAAAGCGATTACAAATTCAATAAAGTACAACTTTTCCAATCTCTTCAACCTTCATTAATAACAAATAAAAACATTAAGGGTGCTCAAGAACTAGTCTTCACTTTCTTCCTCCTACTCCTTGTTGCCAGAGATCTGGCAGCGTTTCTTCTTACACAACATTTGGCTTGAGTGGAGAAGCAACTAAGACACTCAGTATAGCTTGAAGATGCTCATCTGTAAGTTTTGCCCTGAATTTTGACTTGTTAAAGTTCATCACACTAAAGAGCTTTTCACACAGATAGGTACTCCCAAAAAAAGTACATGATCCGCATGAACAGCCTGGAAATCTCAGTGAAAGCAAGGTGGAAGGCAATGCTCTCAAAAATTATCCATGTTTTTTCCATTCACCTTCCTGAGCTTAGAATTGCACTGGAGATCAATCAGCTCCATTTGAAGTGCAAAAGCGGGGCATCTTCCACATTGAAGAAGAAAGGGTCAGCATAAAGTTGTAAAGTGGCTCTGTGTGTTTTGAAGTCTGAAAACATGTGATTGAATTTTTCCTGTATCTTTGCAATGGCATCAGTATACTGAATGGCGTGCCAGAGTGCATGAGTACTTTGCATGTTGGGAAATGGCAGATGTTTCTCTAAGAACCATAACACAAGTTTTGTGCAGAATACCCTGACGTTGTCATAGGCAACACTGACAAGCTACCCTGGTCTTGTAACTTCTTGTTCAGCTCCTATGTAATGTCAACAAGAAAAGCCAAGTTCATGAGCTATTTGGGATCACTTAGTAAAGGAACAACCACCCCATCCTTCTCCTTGAAGGCTTTAAATGCTAAAACATGTTCAAACAAGAGCAGGCATAAGTTATTATTATTGATGCGAAGGAAGATGCTATTGTAGGGACATTGAATTTTGTTTTGTTATCGTAGAAAAGGTCTTTTTGACTAACCCTATTTTGAAAGTGACCAAGCTGACAGGCTCGCAATTCCCCTCACTCCTAAACACTAGCGGCAATTCTAATAGGGATCCTTTGATACTGTGTCAGATTGCCATGATTTACACAATTAAGCTTGTGCAATACTCACTAACTGACTTTTTAAAACATTTCTCAAAACCACACTTTGGCCATGTTTGTCTCATAAAATGCTATAAAATAAAAACTTTTAGTCCGATTTTAAAACAGTTTTCACCATTGTAACCAACGTCCAATCTATAAAAACATAATAAAAATCAGAATTAGACTAGTCGGTGAGATTCGACCAAGTGTCATTATGGATATGAGAATGGGGAAAACACACGTGCCGCATTAACACTAAACTTTGCTGTCATGTGTCGGGCCGCAAAATATCGTCTTGCAGGCCGCAAATGGCCTGCGGGCCACGAGTTTGAGACCCCTGGCCTAGACATAAGAGCTGGAAAAAGTGTTTGTATCCAACTGGAAAGAGTGGTGTCAGAAAGAGGCTACTTGAAGAAGATAATTGATGCCTATTGTTCCATTTTAACCAGAACGTGCTGAAAAGAAAAATATGTGAAACTGCATAGAGTATTATCATACAAACCAATAAAAATTAATAAAAGTATTTAATGCAAAGCAATAATCTATAAATACACTATCAGTCCATAATTTTAAATATATTTTAATAATGCATTCCATTTAATATTGGTCTGATAATAACCGGATTTTCGACATTAGATTTAATACACATATATTCTTAGAAAAAAGTATCATATTATATGGTTGTTGTTGGTCCGTCAACATGGACTAGGACCATCTAGTCATCCGGTTGGGGGGAGGGGGGGTCATCACGGTGACTTCGTAGGTGGTTTGGTAGTCTGATCGTTGCTTGGAATAATCTCTGGCACCGCGGGCAGGGGATAGTTGTTGTAGTTGGTGATCTAAGGTTGCTCTTTCAGGCTAGCCTGCATGTCTCAGCTGTGGCTATCCTACTGGCTTCATGAGATTGAGGCCCCTTCTTGACAGCTGATCTCCACCTGGCTCTGTCCTGACCCATTCAATAGGGTTGATGCTGAAGGCCTTTAGTGCGGCTTTCAGCGAGTCTTTGTAACGCTTCTATTGACCTCCTTGCCTATTGTAAGTTCTCCGAAGAATATCTGTTTAGGGAGCCGGTTGTCTTCCATACGGGCTATGTGTTCCATCCAACGGAGTTGAGACTGCATGAGGGTGGTGAAGATGCTAGGTAGAAAGATATGACCCAATGTTACCGAGATAATAATGGAAGGCATTTTGCGTTACTTTATAATTGCTATTGCAAAGTCATAACATCTAACAATCAAATTTTTACGTATGTAACTGAAAAATATTATGACAATATTCCAGGACCTTGAAATATATATTTAGGAAATAGTTAATCAGACTTTCCTTGTTTTAAAAAGTATTATCTATGTATTGATCTTTACGTTTCTAACATCAGTTTGTTTTGAGAAATAATCTTCAGTATAATATATGCCCACCCTACCATTTTAAGGACCTTTTTTTAGTAATAATGCTAATACTGTAATGAAAAATGTAGATGTAATAAACTTGCAGGTGGGATTACTCAGACAAATTTTCAAAATTTGTTGCATTAAATCAATATATCCCCAGATCTGTTCAAAGTAAACTCTTTGGTACTTGGTGTTCTACTGCATTATGGGTTTTACATTTATCTGGTGTTGGCAGCCAAACCCCAGGAAATTGTTTCAGTTGGTTACCATCAAACCGTTGGCGCATGCGATGTTCCAGTCAAAGTACTCACTCCACTTGGTCATGTAAGTTGCTATAATAATGCTACCATAAAAATTGCCTCTCCATTTCATAAATGAACAGTTACATTTTTAAGGCCATTAAGTTCGTATTAAATTGTAAAATGACTAGCTAAGAGAGTAGACTATATGAAGAAGATTCTTGGATTTAAAAATATTAATTAAAAACCATTAAAAAAAACTTAGCTATTTCTTATACAAACTAAAAAAAAGTTAAATATTTTTATTTATGATTATATAAAAATTATTAGTTATATTTTGATAATTTTCATTGCTCCTTTCTTAAAACATTTTGCAGTTTTTTTTGTTCATATGTTGCTTTTAATGTATTTATAATATTTATATACATTTTTTTTTATATTCTGAATTGACAGTTATTGAAAAAGAACAAGTACTTATGTGTTGACCATTACTATGAAGAATATTTTGACTTCAGCTGTGTGAAGACTTTACCAAGCTCTAACGTAGGATGGTATACAATTTGTGGCACACCTTATAAGAATCATGAGGAATATATATTAGTTGTGTCTGCCTTCTGTGCTTTTGGACTCTTTTGGTTCTGGCAACTGCTGTGTAGATCTGGCAACCAACCCAGAACTTCCAAGCCAACACCTCGTGTCAAACAGCACTGGGATTGAGAGAGTTTCAAATGCAATCAGGTTTACATTTAATGAGGAAACATTCCTTTTCACCAAACCAAAACCATCCCCTTAATTATTTTGATTGGCATGATGATTTAGCCAACAGATGGCTATTGAAAAATCTAAATTATTGAATTGAAAGTTACGATAGGCTTACTTTTATATGAAATCTCTTTGTAATGGAAACTAATTTTTATGATTGTAATGATGTTAAGTTAGATGAAAACTTTTATTTCAGGTAAATTTACAATATAATTCAGTTGTTTTGTATCCTATGTCAATCTCTTGGCTAAATATTTATTTAGTTAATATTTATAATCAACTTATCATGCTTATCCTCCCTTTACTTTAAAAAAAAAAATCAAAACATGACATTTCTTAAAAAGAAAATTGACAATTTTCTTGTATTTCTATTCATAATGTACCACTTTGTTTGTAATTACTGCTATTTTTGTTCTGTTTACACTATCTACAATATAATGTAAGACTTTGTTGTCAATACTCAAAAAAAAATGTTAACATTGCTTTGTTAAAGTTGTTATTTATATCTGTAGCAGTCATCTACATTCTAGTTTTATCTTAACCCATCTTTTCTATCATTCCGTGAATGGTGTTAGTTTTGATAATTATTTAAGGTGCAACTTATTGTTAATAATTTGAATATAAATTTACTTAGTGTGTTATTTCTAAAAAAAAATGTTTATCTTGAATTAGAGATCATAGAAAAAATTAAATATGAATACATTTATGCCTTATGTTCACATTTGTCATTGAGATTTTATAATTTCTGTTTCATGTGTTTTCTTTATACAAATAATTGGTTTGTTAATAGAAATTTGGGTTTATTACTATTAATAGACATTTGAGTTTTAGTACTATTAAACAACTGATATGAAGCGTTCTCATAGTTATTTTTTAATATATAAAATTGCAACATATCAATAGTTTAACACTAAATAAACAATTATTTTTATACATGAAATGGTAGAATAGGTCTATATTTATTAAATATAATGCATTTAATATAAATGTGCTAAATAGTTTAGATTGCTTTAAATAACAATAAGACATTTTCAATTCACTTATAAAATAGTTTAAGAGTGTTGGATAAGCAACAAAGAAAAAGTTATAGAATTTTATGGTACTTTTAATTAACTGAAAGTGATCAAATGGAGCTACATTATAATGCTGAACTTTGCACTTCAGAGCTGAATTAAACAAATATTTGTTGAGAGAAAAATTATCTTAAGTATCAGAATCTATCCACATTTATGCCAAGTCATTTACATTGGGAAAGAAAATGAAGCTTGTTCTAATTTGGTAAAATGAATCTAGTAATTTGTGATATTTACCTTAAAAAAATAATATCAGGTTATCATATATATATATTAATGGCCCAATATTCAAATATTTGTTAACTAACTATAGTAGATATAAATAAATTTTAATACTTGAAAAAATCTTTCTTGGTATATATTTACTAGTCAATCAATAGAATGCAAATTCTGAACTGTAGTTAATGAAGTTTTTTCTTAGGTTCTTACTTTGTATACAATAAATCATATATGATAGTGTCAGGTCAGGCAGTAACCTCAAAAACCATTTCAAACTGGATTGGCCACATAAATCTCCTGGAAAAAACATTATTCTTATGATTTAGAACGTCACCTTGTACCCGTTATTTGCGAATAACTTTTTCCTTAAATTTATTTTAAAAACACTCTAGAGATCTATTTTACTTTTATTCTAAGTATTGAATGATGAGTTATCGAAAAGGTAGGGCCCTCAGCTTATTTTACAACTGTTTTTGTGAATTTTATTTAAGGAGTATAAGATATTTTGAGTTGTTAAGAACTTTACTTTATCAAATGCCCTCTCAAGCTTGAGGTCAAGAGATTTAAAAAATAGATGAAATTTGTACTTACAATTACAAGTTCATTAAAGCTATAGCATTACGGTATTAACTTTCATTACGACTTCAATTTTAGAAACAAATTTGTTAAATAGCTTTCCCATGCATTTTGTACACATACAAAAAGATCCTCTAAAACATATTTTTGGAACGCATCTATTTAGCTTCTCCAAATTATTTTTAAGCTCTACATCAGTGACTCTCAACCTTCCTAATGCTGTGACCCTTTAATAAAGTTCCTCATGTTGTGGCGACCCCCAACCACAAAATTATTTTAGTTGCCACATTATAACTGTAGAGTATATGCGTTTTCCGCTGGTTTTAGGCAACCCCTAGGTAAGAGTCATTCAACCCCCAAAGGGGTCGTGACCCACAGGTTGAGAACAGCTGCTCTATATTATACTATTATCTATTTATCATTTTCTTATTATTTTTATTTGAAATCATATTTATGAATCAATATTATTTTTCATTAAAAAAAATGAAATTCCACTTTCATTTCAAATTTCAACCTGGAGAAATTATCAAATTTGAGATTAATCTAAATCTGAACAATATTCTTCAGACACCTCACAATTTGTTAATAAAGATAGTGTGACCTATACACACCAAAGAGATCTAAAGTAGACATTAGCCTATCAGTAGACCAGGCACATACCCTGGGCATGAGCATAAGTTTGATGAAGGGAGAAAACAAATTTTACCTGACATTTTGATTTTGCTCAATCATCTCTTCCAACCGCACCACATAACACATCAATTTAAAGCATTCGATCTGCACTGCGCTCATATTTACAGTTCATTATCTGATTCATCATGAAAGACTATCATTTTCAAGTGAGTTTAGCACTGAAGCGATTATCCTTGTCTAAACCGGACAGGCCCGCACTAAAAAAGGAAATACCACGCCATACTTTCATAAAGTCGCTTGTACTTTTGCAAAAGTGTTAGTTTTATTTATCTTAAAGGGCCATGTAACTCACCAACTTAAAGTGCGATCTAGCGGCCAGTCAACCACTAATAGTCACATTGGCAACCCCAAACTCAGGGTGCGACTTAAATGAGGGTAGGCCTATATGCTGTAATTCTTTTGGTGAAAGTTAAACATAAAACTGCAGATCTATTTTAAGTTTGTGACATGTTTTTTTGAGGTATCGCAGCCGAAACAAAGCAAATTTTCACCAGGGCTAAAATTCAGATAGAAGCATTAGTAACTAAGTGATCAACTTATTGAAAGATAGGCCAGAACCATTAGGACAAGGAAGGACCTTTGGATAGATTCTGCCACAAACATGACAGTTAAGCCAGTGCACACCCACCATTTAAGATCCTGCTCATACAATGTAAAAGTAAAACATTTTATGTATTTTAATTAGATATTGTTGATGTGTTAGATTTTAAAAAAACAACTTTCAGTGGCTATTAGTTTTTTGTTTTTTTTAATGGGGCACAAAAAAGTGCACAGCCTCTAAAATTGATTTATTGGAACACAAGGCAAGGCAGATTAGAGGGAACATTGGTGAAGAACCTTCCACATCTACACAATCTTCTAATCCAAATGACAAAACCGCCCCCACCACCAGCCTGTGCCCAATATACCGGTATTGCTTTAGACTTAAGATAATGCAGTTTAATAGGATAAATGGGTGAAATACTTAAATATTTTTAATAATTATAATTCATCCCTTTTTAAACTAAGATGATATTTCTTGATTGAAATATTGGATTGCTAAATGGAGCCTAAAAAGCCTATTAAGGCCGTTGAATATGCTTGCAAAGTTATACTGCACATAAAAATAAATAAGACAAAACGAACAAAAACACAAATAATGCTGTATTATCAAATAATTAATTTGCTTCAATTGTTTCATTATCATTATATTTGCATTGAATTGTTAACAAAAACTCCAAAACAAATCATTTAAGTTAAGTGGTACCGTAGAAAAATTGTTTACAGTTATAAGCACATTCTATTAATTAAAAAATACATGAAAAATGAAACTTCCTGCTATACCTAGCATGAATAACAAAGGTTAACATGTGCATAACATTATTAAAGCATATTCCAGTCATTTTTGGTAAAGATTAATTGTACAAGAAAGGAAAAAGCAGAAATGAAAAGTTTTTGGGATGATGCAAGAGATCTCTGGTTCATGATGTCTTATTCTATGGGAAATATGTGACATCTCGCAGGACATTAGGAGCCAGTTTTCTCCCACAATTATTACATGAGAGGGAGAGCCACAACCTTTGCTCAAGGAAAGAACAGTCTCTGCTACAACAGGAATGTAGCAAAAAGGTCTGTGTGTCACCAAAAGATTGGAAAGTGACTCAAGTTATTTCTTTTTTTGGTACATTATTGTATACAAAACCAAGAAGTGTTGGTAATAGTTTATAGTATGCCATTACCCGCACCCTCTGATAATAATCCTAAAAAAAATACACTGCATTTTTTTTCACAACATTAAACTTTAAAAATCAACAGATATCTATTCCGGCTTGCATTCATTGGGAAATTCAGTCCCCAGCATTAGAAGTAAGTTTACAAATCAAGTTTTTAACATCTTAGAACAATAAATTGTTTGTTTTTTTTGCTATGTATTCTCTTCAATCTGCCTATCCAGAGAATAATAACTCATTTTTATTCTTATGGACCTTGTAGGAATTGACGATGGTTAGGAATTAAATTGGAAACTGATAAAAGGACAAAAGTATAAGAAATTTGTGATTTTTTTTCCCACGAAAACAAAACACGACAAGCAAGAAACTGTTTATTTTCTGAAATGCAGTAGAATTTTTTTTTAAGCAGTCACAGACCTTGCAAATGACAAATAAATTCTCAGCCAGACTCAGAAGTTCATTTTAAGATTGACATAAAGAGATCAATAATTATTCAAAATATTGTTTGTTACTTTGAAATATTCTATTATGTGCATTTATTTGAAACATTCCTTTAAAAGGTGGTCATACCTCAAAAAGCCCATAGTTGGCAAAACTCAACAGTTCAATAATCTAACTTAATATATCTTAGTTATTTACTTGTTGGTTGATATGATAAATTAAATTATAAACTAAGAATAAGAAATACTTATAAAATCTATTTATAATAGGTTTAAGCTAAAATAATTGTCCATTATTTGTAAAACAAATATTTTATTGAGAGTGATTTTTTAAATTTAAATGAGCATTTGGTGTATCAAGATAGATTGAAAGTGTTGTGGAAAACATTATTCCATGCAGATTATATTAGACAATATGCATATTGAATATTCCAAAACTATTATTAGAAAAATAATCAAAATTATTTCCTTAAATTATAATGGTTATATTATAATCTTTTAAAGACATACAAATTTTCATTTAATCTGAAATAAAAAATTTTATAAGAAAATTTAAGAAATACATTTGATTTGAACACTGTAAACTGACTTTTAACTTATATTTGCTAGCAATGTATTAAGCTTTCAAAAAGTTCATCTCTTGATATTGAACATAATTATCTATTCTATGGGCACTATGGCCATTTAGAGGGCACATAGCTGAACAATCTGTAAGGCCACTTACACATATACACACAAAATTAACAACATAAGTATCCACTTCCATTTTTTTTTTTAAATGGCCTTTTGTTTTTTTCTACATTAGTTTGTAACAAACAAACAAACAACTCAAGACATCAATTATGAGTACAGCAAAATTTGATGGTAATTACATTTCAACAGATGGCCCCAGTTCCATCTAATAATAAAGCAGCAGTTATTCACCAAGGAAGTGAATGGTGAATACATACTTGGTTATGAATCCTCAATCTAAGAGCCAAATGTTTCTCAGAATTTAACAAGAACAATTACAAGTCCTCATGATATTTATAGTATAAATGGAAAAAAAATTTTTTATAACCTTTATTTCCTGAGCAGATGATGAAATTTGATAACGGCATATTGTTTTAAAGAACCATAAGTGGTATCAACGGGGGAAATTGTAATCAATGCATAATGCTAATTGAGACCGCTACTTTATTGCCCAATCATAATCAACATACATATGAACAGGTGCTGAAACATGTAATGTAAGCTTTATTATTCATTAAAAAAAAATAATAGCTTAAAATGTTTCATTATCTTAAAATTTGACATTGCATTGTCAACAATCATGTAGGCTAAACGACATCAGTTTATCAAAATATATCACAGATCAGGTTTAAAGGGAATTTTCTGGCTTTACATACAAGGATATGCATTCAATAACTGATTTTTAAAAAAACTATCAAAACTTCATAAATAAATTGAAAGTTTTCTGACCAAAATATTTGATTTAATTAATTAATAAAGAAATAAATATTTTAAGAGAGTTACAAACATAAAATTTTGTAAATGAATGAGAAGTGTGTTTAAAAAGAAATAAATTGTGCAGAAATTAGGAATTATTTTTAATTATTTAAATTTATGGCCAATAAAACAAATTCTGGAAGCATTTCACAAAATATAGCATAAATTTAGAAAATAACTAACTTTGAAAAAAATAGTTATGTTATATTATAAAGATTTCCCCATCATACTTGACGGCTGAAGGAAACAATGTTAAATCAGAATGTGGAAAAGGGAATAATGGAAAAGGGAAGTGTACAAAGAATGAAATGTTGATCATAAGACATCAAGCTAGGCTAATCTGACAAATTCCTACTATATAAATTTAGTTCTAGACCCCCAAGCTCGAGCTTAAATATTAAGAAAATGTTTGAAAGAAATGTGCATCCTTTTCCATTGTACCAGACATCTTTTTTTTGATCAACATATCAGAACTTACTTATAATTATATTGTATCATTAGCAATAAATAAGTAATAAATGTTATTCAGTAAGAGAAGTAGCAGTTATGAGCAAGACAAGAGTAGTTTGTCGTAAGGTGAAAAAAACCTATAAATCTGGAGTAGCATATGGAGACTTATTTGCTCAAACTATGTATTAAAGTAAAAATAAGGTTAAATATCGCTATTGCTACAAGAAAAAATACAAGGCAAGTAGAACACTGACTATCTGAATCAATTAACTATACATTGAGTTGATCTTTCTGAAGTGCCTAATAATAATAGTAATAATGCTTCTTCCTGGTCCTGTGCACTAAGTTTAAAGCTAGATTCCTTGTCCTCAAGAACAAACAACTCGGCCAGGTGATAACAATATGATTCTGTCATCGAGGAAAACATTTCTTTTTTATTAATGCCCCCCCCCCCCTTTCCCCCACTCCCCCTGCTTTAAGATTTAAAAGCCGATTTCCATTGATTTTTTTGTAAAGCAACACGACAATACTTTAATCCAGCATGATTTTGTTAAAGTTTTCCAGTGTGCTAATAATCAGTGTTCTACTATTATCATGTAGTTTCATTTTAACTTATATCTCAAACAAAAGTGTAAATACTTCAACTACAGCACACTAAACAATTTGTAAATTCTATTAAAAAAAATGTTGATAACTTTTAATTATGTAAATAATGTAATTCACACTTTGAAAAATAATAACTGTATAATATCAGTAAATTATTACATAATTTAAAACTACTGATTTTAAAAAAAAGAAATGTTATTTGAAAAATTAAATGTTAATATACTTAACTGTTTAATCTTACACTTTAAACTACATGAAAACTTAACAAGTCTGTAGCCAAAAATGTGCTTACCATAATAATGAAAGAAAAAAGTTATTTTCTGGGCACAAGTCAACAGTGATTTGAAGCAATTTTCAAATAAATTACCTTTACTCATGTATTCACGTTTTTTTGTAAATGGCATGGTTCAGACTGTTAAGTTTGTATTGATAAAAATGAACAAAGAAAAAGATTCAGATTTAAAGATAAAAATCTTTTAAAATGAATTTTAACTGTGTCAAACTAAAAGAACTCGACTGTCCATTTTTTTAAATTATAAATTTCTCAAGGAAATATGTCAGTTTTAAATAAATATGAATCAGATGTTAATAAAAGACATTAACTGACAAATTATAAGTGTGTCTGTTGATATTGAAGATTGTATTAGTCAATACCAGGTAATGACTAATTCCCTAGGTTAACATTAATAAGTTAACTTACGAAATACAGTTAAAAAATAGTTGAAAAATATTTAAATCTTTTTAGAAATCATGCTTTGATGACCTAGTCAGAATTTTAATAAAGCTTTAAAAGTATCAGTGTATATATTTTAAAATGTTATTAATCGCAGTGACTTGAACACTGAAAATGTTTCAAATTTTGTATTAGCATAAATTATGGGTCAATTAATAAAAAAAAAAAACCAACATTGAGCTTCTCCCTCAAAATTTCTCCACTCATTCAATAATTATAATTATATCTACATATATGTAAAGTAATGAAATGTTTTCTCACCAAAGGAAACTATTTATAAACGTATAATATTCAAGCAGTTGCACAGTAGTAAAAAATCATAACAAACAAGAAAAGAAAAAATCAATAGCATGTTGTCTGCTACGTGTATCGACCAAGAACCATTGTCTTCATAAACTGAGGCATCTGTTGAGAAAACATAGATCAGACCATTTGAGATCATTTTAACATATTAAGAAAGAAAATTCAAATGCTAATCTATAAGCCAATGCTCTTAATTTTAAAAAGCACACAATCTATAAACAATTCGTGCTGATTAAAATGTTTAATTTCAAGGAATGAGATTTGAATTATAATTAAAAAGAACTTTTCAATTCAACTAGAATTAAAATAATCGTTTATTACCGAATCATTGTCATTCAAAGCCTCTGCTATCATTTTTTCTATATTTCTCATTATTGCAATTTTTTGTCCATCGTTTAGTGGATACACAACTTTCACGGTTGGAGCTGCCTGAATATATATATAAAAATGAGAACAATTATCATTATTATTATTACTTATTATTATTACCAATGAAGTTTTTCAAACATAAATAAACAAAATGTATAACTTTAATAAATGCTAATCCTACAAAAAATATTAAACATTTTAACTGTCTCCTGCCACAAGCGCCCACTTTTGCGTCCCTAATTCCCAACAGCACCTGCCTGAAAAACCTGGCGGTGGCATGGGAGGTTGATAGTCACATGCCATGCTCTTTAAGGCTGGCTACCAACTAAACTACTGAACTGAAATTAACGGCTCCACTCGGGCTCGAAGCTCTTTTACAAAAAGAGAAATATGTATGTTTTATAGTTAAAGATATATCTGAAACAGACTATACAAGTCAGTACTGTTACACATTGTAGATATAATACAAGCTGGCTATGGGGAATTTCAGTGAATTTTTTAAAATGCAGCAACAGTAAAATTCGAATATTATTATTATTATAAGGCTATTATCTTTTAATAACCTTATTTTTTATCGTGATTATAACATTTAATTCATTTTTTTATATTAAATAAAAATTTAAAGAACAAAGACATGGCTTTTGTTTTACTATTTATTTTAAAAAAAATATCATATACATTTTAAAATGGAGTTATGCCCTTTGCTTAGACAGGAGGACAAGTTTTTGTTAACCCTCGAACTGTGGTCGGCCAACGAAATCAGTCGATATTCTCGTTCTATGCTGTGGCGGCTGAAAAAATGGGCCGATAAAAAACACGGTCCGATAACAACTTCCAGTCCAATATTTAACCGAAATCATAGCCTCTTCCTTTTATTAATAGTTAAATCAACTTCCGGGTCAAGCTGTTTCTTGATAATTTAACAATAAGTACTTTTTAATCACAATTTTATATCCCTGTTTTTTTTAAAGTTAAAATAGCGGAAGCTATGGCCGGGCCTTCAGTGCGAGAACTAATAAAAATGTCTTTGAAAGCTTTTTAGGAGAGGATCTAAGTGATACTGATGATGATTTTAACATTCCCAATGACATCTCACTTCAGATTCTTCTTTTCGTGAATCTAATACTAGTCTTAGTACATAGTGATACTGAAGTAGGCCTACTAAGGCTACTGTTTGACTTCGAGCCACGCCAAGAGGTTGGGCAAGGACTGACTGAATTTTAGTCATAGACGCTACAGATTATAGATCAGAACTAATAAATTTTATAGTTTAACAGCCCAACTCAGTTCCACAGTTCCTTTTTAAATGTTCACTAGTCAATAATAACTATTTTCCCTGAGATTTTGTATTTTGTACTTTGTTTTAGCTGTGGTCCCAGTTTTTTATATAAATGATCAAAAATTGCTTTCAAAAGTTTAATTGTAATCAATACCTTAGCAAACTACACATTTTCTGAAAGATAAATGAATTGGCTACAACATTTAGATTTGTGTTTTAAGTGTATCTATAAAAATTAATGATGTTATGATCACTTGAAAGCAAGACATTTTGTCGATTTTTATTTTCTTGAGCACTCCAAGGTCAAGGACACTGTGCAAAAAATTTTTTTATGGGGTGGGCATTATAGCCAACTTGATCCCCATCCATTTACCTTTCTAAAAATTTATAATTATTGGGGTCTTGCATCAATATTTCTATGTCATTTAATGCAATTTCAAAAGGCACTCAAAAAGCTCTGAAAAGCTCCACACCACAGAATGATGCATGCCACAGTTCGGGGTTAAATAGGTTAGGCAGGAGTCTGTTAACTTATATGCATTAACTTGACCAACCTTGTACCAGAAAGTGATTGATATAGTTTCACCATGTCCATGCAAAGATTCAACCTGGTGCCACCTGAAAATGTAAAGACATCAAGATATTTTTTAAATAGGTGCAATGTAAACTAAAGAAAAATTTTAAACATATTTTTTAAAAAGTGTAGGACATGCCGATGAGCCAATTAAAATGACAATATTATTTTATCAGAAAAATTTATGAAGCAAACAGATAAAGAAAAATAATTCTTCAGCATATTTCACTTGTGACAACTTAAAAACATTATTTAGGAGATAACTTTTAAAACTAACCACATAAAAAAAATTCAAGACTTAAGTGAACAGTTTTATTTTTAAGCTTCAATATTGTAGTTGACCTTTTCAGAATTTGGTCACTTATTATTGTGACCCTTTTCAGAATTCGTGACCCATAATTCTACCAAAGCATTATTTTAAAAATATATGTTTACTAATAAAATAACAATTTTATTTTCGTTAATGCAACTTAAAACATGAAAAAAGTAATTCTGTATATAGAATTCCTTACCAGTACATTGGAAGATATAGAACATCCTTAGGGCCAACAATTGCTTCATGTGCTTTTGCATTAGCAAAATTAGGAAATCTCTTAAGATCGGGTGCATCAAAATCTACCTAAAAACAGCAAATTTAGACAATTGTTGTTACAGAAAGTTAGTAAAAAATGTTATTAGGATAGGGGTCATCCATAACTGGCATCATGCAATTTTGGTATATTTCTTATACACCCGCCCCATGAGTCACAAATTTGTAACACACATTGGACAATTGGACACTTTTATCACACATTTGTGCCCCCCCCCCACCCCAACTTGAATATCATATATGCTTATGGTATCCTGACGGTTGTTTGAATGTCTTCTCTCTTCAGTCCTTTACTTCAATATACAACCTATCCCAATGTGCTTCCTTTTCTTTCTTTGTTCCCCTTTCCTAAGTTAAATCACTTGCCTACTCACCATCATCATTTGCAGTTCTCTGGAAAACAAACTCATATAAGTTTGTATTACCCTTTTTAAGTCTCTAATTGTACTTTTCGGTTTGCTGATGTTTACATTTTCGCTATTTTGTTTAGTACTTTTTTTCAGATTTTCCCCTTCTTGTGTTTTATATTTTTATATTGCTTCAACCTGATCACATTCATTTTGCACTTTCCAAAGAGGAAGCTGTTTCTTTAAATTGACAGGAATAAAATATAGCTGATTCTGTATTGTTTTACCACACAAATAATTTACAGTATTTTACTTACTTGACTTTGTCGGTCATGAGGGTGATAGATTGGGTAAGGATACAAACAGTCAAACTGGTTTGGATCAAACAGTAAAAATCTTTTATATCCTTGAATTTGAGCAAACAAGTTTTCCTGCTCATCATAGTGGGCTGGTGTAATTACCCCTACACACAAAAGACAAATTCTGGTCATTTCAAATTCTGCTTTGGTAAAGATAGCTGAACAGAACTGTTTCACATATTATAGATATAAAAATTAATGAGCTAATCTAATGGTTAGAAAATAGTTAGATGGAAAATAGGTTAATATTTTATACGAATAATCAATAATTTTATTAAATTATCTCACCCTCCATGCCCACCAAGAGAAGATTTGATGTCAGAGGGCCCCATCTATTTCTTTTCTGCGTCTCGTTTGCCCAACCCCAGTTGAAATTTGTAAAGTCCATAACAATTCGTTTTCCTACTGTATCATTGAGTGACTGTTGCAAATATATACTGAAATGAAAATATTTAAATTTTAGATAGCCACTGGTTATTATTTTTTAAATTATTTAATGCTTTATTTTAAACTTATGCTCATTTCATATTTTTAAACATATGTTTATGTTAAAAGCTTTTTTTTAAAATATGCTCAAGGATTATCTTATTTTATTAACAATACAAGCCTGCAATTTTACTTCTCCATTTGGTTGAGATGATTTCAAAAGTTACTCTAATTTAATTACCTTCATGGATCAGGTTACTGTTAATGATCTGTAATACAAGCTCTCTCAACTTAGGATCTACAGACCTTCCAATCTAAACCTAAATACAGTTATCTGTTCTAAATGTTCAAGATTAAGGCTTCAAGAATTTTTAAAAGCAACACTTACAATTCTTTAGAGTCTCTTTTGCGCAATTTAGAGGCAAAGTCCTGGAATGACATCTCAGAATTTGATGTTGGAGGTTTAAAACTTTTATTTTGAGGTAACTTTTTTTCATCATAATACTTGAATTTTCCATCCGGCGAAGAGTAAACAGTGTATTTTCCAGAACCCAAATTGGAACACAAGTAACCAAGATCCCAGTGATAAGCTGAACCAACCAAGTCGGATCCTGTTAGAATCACAGGTTGCTGGAAAAAGTAAAATAAACGTATGCATGATTTAAAAATATGACCATAAAGTAAAATAAACATTGTAAATTAGAACCAATTTATACTGCATCTTTACCATCCATACAGAAATGACAGAACACAGTAAACTATCAATGGAAGCCACCATTAAAATTGTGAGATGAGTAAAAAATGCTAGAAGCAATCTGATTAGCTGATACAAAGAACAGCCAGCCGATCTCCATGCTTTTATTATTGGGCAGATGGATTGGCCTTTTGTCTCTTTTACCATGACCATGACACTGACACTCTGGACTCTGGGCAGATAGATTGACCAAGCCATCTCAAGAGGGTTTAGGGTTTATTAGGGGCAGGGGCCTGGCCATTTTGACTAAATTATTGTTTCATTTAAATAAAACACTGCATAATAAGGCATTAGACATGAAACTGTACTGTTTCAGATTTAGCGGCCCACGTCGACTTTGTTAAGGTTAGGCATAGGGATCGATTTAGGGTTCAGGTTAGGCATAGGGATAGATTTAGGGTTCGGGTTAGGCATAGGCATAGGGATAGATTTAGGATTAGGGTTAGGCGTAGGGATTGATTTAAGATGTAAAAGTGCTCGCATGGAAATAGACGCGGGCCGCTTTCTCTGAATTTACCCAAGCCCAAACATTGACATTTTCAGTCATTCATTAACAATAACTTATAACAAAAATAAAATATTTTACATTCTTATTCTTGGCCTAATTATTATAAGTTTTTCATTTAACCTAAAATTTATAAATAAAGTCAAGGATGACCCTAAACATTACTTTTTATTTTAAAGGGCGGTTATATAAAAGGAAGGTTATATAAAAGGCTGATTTAAAGGATTCGTGGTGTGAAAACAGGATTTCCAGGAAAAAAAAAGTATCTATTTTTGTCAATTACAATTTGATCTGTTATTGACTTTGACAAAAATTAAAAATAAATAAATAAATAATATTAAACATACCCCATTTTCAATTAATTTTTCAGCTTTAGGATCTTGGTAGTTCAAACGTGGTATTTGTTGGGTAGGAAAGTCGTATTGTTTAACTTCAAACTCTTTCGAATCGACTTTAATACTTTGGGTGGCCATTTTCCTTCTACATCTAATAATAGCTACATACACAAAGGGACCAGTCATTAAATAATGACGAAACCTTTCTTTATTCATGCACACTTTTCTTATTAATTTGAATTTGTGTATATATGGGTAAGCAAAAATATTAAAATTGTATTTTTTCTGTTTATTATCCCGGTTAAAAACGTATAAAACCTAAACAAACTTATACACGTAAAACAATGATACACTCATGAAATAGGTATCATGTTGTAATCAAGTGCATAAATTCAAAATTGGTATCGTACCAAAAATAAATAATTTGTTTAAAAACAAAATAATTATCAACTTTAACTTATGTGGAATTGGGATACAATTAAAATTCCATTTAAGTTCAACGTTATCAAACAGTAACAAAAACAAAAGTATAATTTTACATATTTTAAAAAAAAAAAACTTTCTATAAAAATTAAAGACCAGTTTAAACCCATAAAAAGTAAAATATAATTTAAAATGTCTTAAAATGCATTACGCAAAGAAACACTATAAGTATTATTCATTAAGTGGGAGAAAGTGTTATATTAGGTAGTGTGGTGGTGGCGGATCGGTTGGTAAAGTAAAGGGTTTGAGTTTGTGTAAGACAGAGCTCCGCAACCGGCGTGCCGCTGTACACTTGTGTGCCGCTAGACTTTACTAGATATGCCGGGGTAAAATACATCCAAGTGGATGAAAAAAAAAAACAATATGAAAACGATATAAATTTGTTAAAACAAAATGAACAATGATTTACTAACTAACAAGGTGTCAAACGTTTGAAATCCAAACAGCACGGGCATGGCACAACTTTTAAATTTGGCGTTTTGCATGATAAATCACCATCTCAATGTGTAAGAAGCGACCAGTAAAATATGTCTCTGTTGTTATAGACTGCGTGACGCACACCTTTCACGCCTATACTATATACTAAAACAAAATAATGCGTCCCAAAAGAAATTTGAAGCAAAATTTTAATGTAAAAACTGAAAAAAGATCCGACCAAAATTCGGTTTGATAAAATTACCGTCGATCAATTTACCATCGACGAAATTTCTTTCGATCAAATTTCCGGACACGGTTACAAATAGGTACTAGAATTTCCGCCCTGTAAAAATGCAAAACTCGTGTAAAGCGTAAGGATTTTTATACAGGCGGACAAGCATATAATTAACTAGTTATCTATTACTTGGGCTAAGTATGGGTAAAAGAAGCAACTAGTAACTCGTGACCAACCTCTCAAGTGACTTTTTGCATTTCATTCATTGATAGATAATAACAACTAACCAATTATATTTAACAATAAATAAATAATAAAAAATATTGTTTTGTTTAACTCAGTTTATAATATATTTTTATTAAATTAATTTTATCCCGGGATTAGAGGTAATTTGATCCGGTTTTCTCGGTATAAGTGAAACCCCGGGAAATGAGTAACCCTAGATGCGTCATTTTGCTGAGCCACTAGTGAGTTACTAGTGACCACACTAGGTTGGGTGTGTTTCTCTATTACACTGGGAATAAACAGTGTTGCCATTAAACTTGCGTCGTAATAATAATTGAGCTTTTCAAGTTATATGTTTAGTGAGGCCTGATTACCTCCAAGATTTGTCATTTTCCCCATTTATGGTAATTTACCCCGGTTCGTCGACCCTTGCAGAGAAGAAGTGGTGTTCCTTTATCCTTGCCTCTAGCACCAAGTGAATGGTTACCGATGGAATTAAATTATGATATTCAATATAATCAGACAAAATAAAAAGGATAAAAAATTAAACATTGTATAACAGCGGTATTTAAATTGTATTGTATTTGATGAACCTCACATTAATTTCATTAAAATGATTGGCGCTACGCTTTATTAAAAAAATGTACGTCATAATTTCTTAGTTAGAATATTTTAGGCGTATTTTAATGTATTTATATACATTTAATGTTCATTTTCCTATTTAAACTAGTTAGACCCCTAGTGGATGCCACCCCACCCTCCACCAAACTCTGAAACCGTTGTTATATTAATTTTACTAGTAACCATTTTTAAACCGCCCCATGTGCTATAAATATGTTTACTCTCGTTATTTACACTTAACACTTTCATTAAATTTGGTATTGCGGATGAATATCAATAGTAATGAGAGATTTATTATCACACGTTTCGTCTTTACATTATACAAGCTAATAGTCTATAACAAGTCATAAGCATTTTAATTTTAAAAAATAAAAACTCAACTCAGTACAACCTCATAAAAAATAATAGAACTATTTATTGTTTGAGATTTGAACAATATGCGTACTTGGGTTATATATTTTTTTTTTAGGAGTTGAGGTGAAAAAAGTTCAAAGCGATTCCGGTGTAAAATTCGTAAACAGAATTTGAGGATCCTTAGCTGTCGGTGAATTCAACTTTAAAGCAGTCCGATTTTCTGTGGGACAAGATGATAATAATGAAGTTATTAGTAGCATCTCTAGTGCATAATAAATTATAATTAAACAAGAGAATGTGTAGAATAACTTAGTGACTTAGTTACAACACTCAGATTGTGAGGCCTAAGCCTAAGTGATGATTGTGTAATACTGTGTAGTGTAAAGTTAGAAGTTTTCCTATCAATTTTTCATGAAATATACTTGGACATAATGCTGGGCCGCCGGCCGGGTTGGTCAACAACAGGTGTACCACTTGGATTATAAAAATATTCTACATTTATCGACCTACTTACTTATTCAAATTGAAAATTCTTTTATGGATTTTCGTCCCTTGTGTCAAGTTTATCCACATCATTATAATATATTAAGTTTAAGTGATTAAGTACAAAAATGGCGTCAAAATGCCAAAAGTTTTTGCCAAATATATTCAATAAATCCAAGTGCCAACATTGTTTTGCTGCAAAAGAAGCTCATACTGCCGCAGCCTTAGAAAATAATAAGGTAAGTAAGGGTGAGTGATAGTACTATTAGTATTAGTACAATAATATTAGTTGTACTGGCTACAAGTATCCTGCCTTATGCCTTATTCTTATTATTAATTATGCTTTATCCAAACTTATGCAGGTCGCCTCAACTCAGTCAAGGGATCTTTATTTAATTTTTGTATTGAAAGTGGATAGGCTGTCTATGTAACCATTTATTTGTATACTTGAGTCTTTAATAAGCTGGTTTGACAGGCTTTACTTATTAAATTACTTTATACTGGCATTCTATATTATTATTATAATAGTGTATATTTATATTTATACTAAGAGGTTAGCTGACTATTTATACTATAAGTCCTAAGCTGGAACAATTTTTTATAAAAACTGTAGGCTGTAGGCCCACATTTAATAGACTTCTTAGTAAGAATCTTAGGCAGGGTAGTGAAACCTACCACATTGACTACATGTCAATGGGCAAGTAGAAGTGTTTCATTCATTCCACAAGACATGACAAGACCTTGAGTCTTCAGTGGACTGGATTTATCATATATAATATATATAATTGAATTACCATTAAAATTAATGTTTTCGTGAAATGTATAAATTGATGAAATTGTGATATTATTATCTTTGATTATCTGTCAAAGTAAAAGATCTAAAATCAATAAGCATTGAATTGAACTGTCAAAATTTAATTATATAGCAACTTTATACATTATTTCATTGCTTATTTTAAACTGAACTCGGGTACATTTTCTTTCAAAGTCCATCTTCAATGAGATGAAGTAGTAAAAGTATATATACCCTTTATTTTCTAAAAAAATCTGTCTGATCAACTAATTGAGTGATTACAACACACTAACACACTGCTGTGTTAAAAGTAACAAAGTCATGTAGAATTCTGCAGCCTTTAAATTGGCAAATTGGTATTAATTTTACAAATGTTTAAAATAGTATTTCAAGTATTTTATTGAGAGAAGTAGGTAAAAGGTTGGGTGAATTTTCAATTGACTTATCAAAATTTATGGCAAGAGCTTAATTTCTTATGATTGAGAAGTTTTTCATTTTGTTTAATTTTAATATTTTTAGGAGAAAAAAATTATAAAAAGAAGATAGAATAAAAAAAAAAGCTCCTTGGACTAAATACATCAAATCCTTTGCATGAAAAGTGTCTACTCTACCATTTGACCAAAGTACAAGTTTTATTTACAAAGTATTTATAGTTGTTCATTTTACAAAAGGTATTCTATTGTCAGGTATTAGTTTTACAACTTAAGTGGTTCAGATTTTTTAACTCCGGATGGGCTTTCTCTCCAAGAATAGTTACCTTGCTGAGATGACCATTTGGCTTCTTTACTTGTAGCAGTGGATGACCCTGGGCTAATTCAAACCGCAGCCTCTTGTTTGAGAGGCATAAAGTGTTAACATACCACCATTGGTCTGACAGTAGCTTATTTAAACAAAATGTATTTAATTACTTTCTTCTGCTGGCTGTAAGTTTATCTGACAACAATGAATATCCATTTATGAGTCAATGTTTTTAAAGGCTGATGCTGAATTTTTTATATGGTTATTTCCAAGTCCTTCATGCCCTTCCTTGCTTCCACTTCCTGTGGGCTGTGGGTTTAATTCCAGTTCATTAAGGCTTTCACCATACTCTTCTGAGACAGATATTGTGAATGTCTTGTATTTCTGAATACCAACTGTCCTTTTCAATCTTTTGATGCTAAGAATTTTTAGGAATTCATCATACTTAACTTGATCACAGTAGCATATTCCTAACACATCTTTGGAGGAACACATTCTTTGTTTGTAATGTGGTTCTCATCATCCTTCATATTTTGCTGACAAAAATAGTGGTTCTGATTAATAATGCTGCTGGAGTGCTAGCATTTACCCAACTATAAATATTTTGCTCTCACCACATTATTTATTTGGTTGAAATATTCCGAAAGCCAGAATCATGCAAATGTTTTTCCCAGACGTTTACATGAACATATAGGTGACGAAAAATAAAAATGTACTTAATAATGAATGTACTTTTAAACAAAAAAATTATTTATTGCTACTTATAAGAAATATAACTTTGCCCACTTTACCCATAAACATCTATTATTATTAT